ATAAACCACTACCCATATCACCATCTCTACCTGTATACAACCACTACCTGTATATCACCACTACCTATATACAACCACCCCAACCTATATACCACCACTACCTGTATACCACCCCACCTATAGGATAGGATAGGATAGGATAGTATAGTATAGTATAGTATAGGGTAGAATATTTTATTTGGTACATACACAACACAGAGCTAGTGTAAAGTCCAATATACCACCACTACCTATATACCACATCTACCTGTATACCTCCTCTAATTGTATTCCACCACCAATAGCATTCTCATATATTCTCTTTAAAATAACCTTTTTTAGTTCTGTGTGTGTCCTGTGTATGGGGGAATCCTTGTTGTTACCTTCAGACCATATTAGTGTTGGGTTCCAATTCCAGCACATTGATTTAATACTGTGTATGACATTGTTTTAATACTTACTGTGTATGACAATGTTTTAATACTGTGTATGACATTGTTGTAATACTGTGTATCACATTGTTTTAATACTGTGCATCACATTGTTTTACTACTGTGTACGACATTGTTGTAATACTGTGTATCACATTGTTTTCACATTACTGTGTATCATTGTTTTAATACTGTGTATCACATTGTTTTAATACTGTGCATCACATTGTTTTAATACTGTGTACGACATTGTTGTAATACTGTGTATCACATTGTTTTCACATTACTGTGTATCATTGTTTTAATACTGTGTATCACATTGTTTTAATACTGTGCATCACATTGTTTTAATACTGTGTATCACATTGTTTTAATACTGTGTATCACATTGTTTTAATACTGTGTATCACATTGTTTTAATACTGTGTATCACATTGTTTTAATACTGTGTATCACATTGTTTTATCACATTGTTTTCACATTACTGTGTATCACATAATACTGTGCATCACATTGTTTTAATACTGTGTATCTCATTGTTTTAATACTGTGTATCACATTGTTTTAATACTGTGTATCACATAGTATTAAAACAATGTGATTCACATTGATTTAATATTGTGTATCACATTGATTTAATACTGTGTATCACATTGTTTTAATACTGTGTATCACATTGTTTTCACATTACTGTATACATGTCTTCAGTTCTAACAGCATAATAGGGTTGTTTCACACAGTGGTCTTAAAATTCTTTTCTGCATTCAGGCATCATATCCAATGGTGGTGCAAAACCTAACATCATATCTGAAAAGTCAGAGCTTGTATATTACCTGAGAACACCAAGCAATGCCGAGCTACCAGCTTTGCAAGAGAAAGCAATACAGTGTGCCAAAGGAGCAGCTCAAGCAACTGGTTGCAATGTAAGCCTGTTTCTGTTTATAAACAATACATAGTTTTTTTCAAAAATATTTTATGCTTTCATATAAGGTTTAAAAAATGTAACAAATATGCCAAAAACATTTGGTTCATTGGCCCTTTAAAATATTCACTACCGGTATGTTTTAAATTTACTGTAGTTTGTGAAAGAAATAATACATTCACTTAGTTATACAGTATATAACATAGTGCATGTGAATAGTTACAGTATCAGCAAAATGAAACCCAGTGAATAATAAAGCTGTAAAAACTACCAGTAGTTACATTGCTCAAGCTTCTGAATAGTTGATTGCCAAATCTTGCAAGTTACGTGAAAGACATGCACCAAATGTCTGCCACAAAAATCAATGATTTGATTTTGAATTCAAATTTCTGTATTTCGTAGCTCAAATTGAAAAGCCGATCTTTGACAGGGGAATATTGCGTTTGAATACCCCTACTTCATCAAAATTGACCATCCTCAAATGTGTACAGCACATTATTAAGCATGGAAATGTCCATTAAAATACTGAATCTCACGCGATGTTTGACGTCACTACGAAGCTATGACATTTGTTTGTCTTGTTTTTACGTTTGATCTCGCCCATACACGGGATCTTGCAGTGTACGGTAAAAAATTGTCTATTCTCTTGTACTCTTAGTCCGTGTATTTATACATGTACATGTTTCTCATATTGATAGGTTGAGTACAGTTTCAGTCAACATTACGCTAATGTGATACACAATGCTACGCTGATAGATTACTACAGAAAAAATGCAGAGTCCCTCGGAATGAAACTGTTCACACCTGAGCAATGTGACAAGGCATCTGCCGGTTCTACTGATATGGGAAATGTTACCCATGTCGTACCTGGATTCCATCCCAAGTTTGGTATCGGTTCTGAAGCTACTACCCACTCACGAGGATTCACAGTCACAACAGGTATGGAGGGTTTGGAGGGGGTGATATTATGGAAGGGTGGGCTGGGAGATGTGTGGTACATAATGGTATGGAAGAGTAGGTGACATAGTCCCCATTGGAATTAGAGGAAATGTTATTCATGGCAAATATAAAGTATTACCGGTATGGACCAAAAGCATAGTTAGTAATTGAGAGTGGATAATTGGCTGGGGTATTATCAATAGAAATTAGATGTATTAAATGACTCAAAATCGTAATATATATTTGTCAGAAATTAAACAGGATATGCTATTTATGCATTTTTTTATGTCCAAACTGAATTTCCAAGCTCCTGTACGAGAGATATAATATTATGCTCAAAGTGCCAAATATGAATGAAAATGGTCCCTAAACCTTGCACCTTCGCCAGCCAAGGACCATTTATTCGGCCAAAGCCTGAATATTTAACCCCCTTAGCAGATTTCACTAAGATTTACTGTACCCCGATATGTCGCACACCCTCAAACGATTATAAGATTCACTTGGCTCATTGCATTACCCAAATCAGAACTCACGATAGAAACAACACATACTTGGTAAAATTAAAATGGTGGAATATAGAAATCAACGTGTTGCTAGGTTTTTGCTCTGTGAGCGAGCGCTTAGTGCTGTATCTGAGGGAAATGATGTGTTTGCTGCAACAAAGATCGGATCGGGCAACTCAATATGTTATCAGTTTGGACAATTTGGTGAATTAGCACAAAGCCTACAAGCCACCTTTGTTTTAATCTGTGATGACCCCGACATTCACATTTATGATACAGCAACAATGATTAGTGGTGCCAGCTCCTTGGCACGCCCTGTCAAATGACTCAATTGAACTGAAGTGAAATTTAGCTTTTCCTAACACAATCACGCTTTGGTTCGTGGGCTGGTTTTGAATGGCCGCTTTTAGCGAAACCGTAAAATGTAAGCTATACATGTAGTAGTATGGTCAAAATGCAAGATGGCCAACAGTCAGTCGTCTTTGATCTGATTATGAAACAAACTGACATGGACATGTATTCCAATATGATGTATGTGCCAAATATGAATAAAAATCGTCTATAAGCATTATATGATATGGCCAAAAAGCAAGATGGCTGGCCATCTTTGATCCAACTGTAAAACCATTTGCAATGGACATGTAATCTAAAATGTGCAATATATATAACAAATTTGAATGAAAAACTACGTCCAGGATACAACATTTTCAAAAAACAAATCGTCTTAGACATGTATGTACCAAATTTGAACAAAAACTGACAATGCATGTATAAGATACCATACTGTTAAAATAACAAAATGGCTGCCAGCCATCTATCCATCCCTCTTTGATTGAATCGGTAAACCACTGCATGTACATATGTCCCAGATAAAGTACTAGGCACATGCAAAGAATGAATAGGTTGGTCCACAGGGTCGTGTGGAATACAACTCCAGATGAATTGACAGTTTTTTCAAAGAGGGACTAATTAAAACTGCTGTTATTCAAGTGTAACAGCACAAGTCCAGACTGCTTTCCATACATTTCAGTGCTTTTTTCATTCTAAATTATATCAACTCCATACAATACACGATAAAATTTATGTTGTTAGTTCAAATCAAAAGTCTTCATGAATAATTTATCACATTCACGTAATGCTCATAGTCATGTCTTTTTTATTTATGCAATCAGTTGCCAATTGTAATAATAGACAAGTTTGGAGTTGTTTGGTTGTTATTTACCAAATAAGCACCTATGTGTGATTTTGTTTGGGGGGGGGTATATTGCCAAAACAGCTATAATAATGTTTAAGTTGCATTAAATGAAATGAAAATTCATATGAATCTCAAATGATCGATAGTACACATGAAATCTCATGTTTTTTCCATTTCTCAGGGACACCAGAGGCCCAGATTCCAACACTGACGCAAGCCAAGGTGCTAGCAATGACTGCACTTGATGTCTTCTTTCAAGATGGGGCGATGGATAAAATACAGGCTGATTTTAAGAAAGATATCGAGAAAGAGGAAATGATGAAAGTAAAATTGTGATATACTGGTACACATACAAAATTTACTGTTAATTTACACCAACGTCATGTTCACGGGAAATGACTTTTTCAAGTGCAATAAATAAGACCAACAAGACGTGCCTCAAGATAGCATTTTCTTTGACATTATGGTTTAGTTACCTTGACTGCATAATCATATGTGAAGGGATAGAGGGACTGTGATGAAGGGAAAGTGTCCATTCTTGTTATGGTTATTGTTATTGGACAAATTTCACTTAAGGATGCTGTACACCTTTTTTTGCTTTGAAACCCAAAATTCTACTTTTTTGTATTTTTCAAATCTGGACTACAAAGAGCAAACACTCAATAGGAAAAAAAGTGAATTGGATGTTTTTATAGGGTGTAAAAATCAATTTTTGTTAATTAAAAACAAAAGCACATGTCATTGTTTTGAAAGCTATGTTTTAATTAATCAGCCAAAGATATAATAGACGGATAATTTGCATAATAGTCACCACCCATAGCAAATATAAACAGTCTCTTGCATTCAGTTCAAGCTCAGCCTAGTAAGACTGTCTTTTTCTTGTGGTTATTGCAACTCAAACAAGCCATGTATGGCACAGTACCTGTTAGTTATCAAATTTAAGTTTTGTTTATAGTAATATAGCTGGAATATGATTATTTTTTAACATTTGTATCTGATTGTCAAACGAGTACTTGTTCATATTGAGAGATATTGCTCTGGAACAGCATTGATTAAAACAAAATCAGCCATTTTTAATACATGTACATATCTTTAACATGATGTATAATGAATATATAAAATTTGAACATAATCAATGCATGTCAGAGATATGGCTCTAGAAGCCCATTCATTAAAACAAAATTGCTGACGTGCATCAGGAACCCAATCAGGAATGTGCAATACACTGTAACCTCAGTATAATGAACACCATTATAATGAACCTCCTGATATAATGAACACATAGCGTGTCTCCCGCTCACAACAAACCCAATGTATTATGTGCTTCATTATAGTGAACATTTCACTATAACAAACTAATTGTTTGTCCCCCAAAAAAATTCGTTATAGCGAGGCTACAGTGTATATGTAAGTTTGAACGAAATCCATCCAAAAATATGAGTGGTAGGCGAATATACCGGCGACTGATTAACTATGCCGACCCTACTTTAGGTCATTTTTTATTATCCAAGAAATGTTCCGAGCGCCTGTGAGACCAGTATGAGTACTTTGTTCTGCCCCATTGTACCAACCGTCCACGCATTGTCTTCAGCAACCAACCACACGAAGAAATCACCAGGTCTCTGAGGTATACACAGTGTCGGTAAATTTATAGGGCAAAATGAATAAAACGTTCGTGCTGGACAAGTTCCCTTTTAAGTACCTTATTGACGTTATAGAAATCCACAAACGAAAATGGCTACCACTTGAGACGACGCCTCCACAGGCGTGAATAGGTTAATGCACGCGTGTTTTTGCACACACACGAAAAAAACAAAATCATTCAAAATAGCGCCCCCACAGGCATAAATAAGTTAATGCACGCGTTTTTTTTCTTTTTACACACACGAAATTGTCATTCGACCTTACACACGCCATTTTTAAAAACACGTCATTTTTAAAAACATACACGTCATTTTTTTAACATACACGTCGTTTTTAAACACACGCCATTTTTAAAAACACACACGTCGTTTTTAAACACACGCATCGTTTTTACACACTTGTTTGAACGCACATTATTTTTAAAATACACATGTCCTTTTAAACACACACGTTTTTTTTAAATACACATAATTGTAAAATACACACGTCATTTTAATACACATCATTTTTAATTCACGCGTCATTTTTAAAACACGATTTTTAAAACGCCCACGCCATTTAATATACACACATGATTTTTTAAAGCACATACCATTAAAACGCACGGTCACGCCGTTTTTTTAAAATGCACACATATTAAAACACACACGCACGGCCTCCAATACGTACGTAATTTTGAATTACTAGTACGTTTTCTTCTAGTATACACAAAATAATAAATTTACATTCCGCGCCTCGTAAGATACATGTCCGGACGGACACAGAGGTTAATCCACAAGTCCTTGTTGTGAACCAAGTTCAATTTTGACTGAAATAAGACTTTTGTTAGACATCAAAATAAATGAACAGAATGGAAGTATTTATAATCATGTCTGCTTATAATGAAAGCCAGATGTTAGTAATATGCTGATGACGGGGGGAGGGTACTATGAATCAAATTATGACAAGTATTAAACTAGTAATAATAAAAGAAAATGAATAATTAATTTTCATGAAATGAAATTATAACTTTATGATTCTTGTTCAGCTTTGTTCAGAATTGTTTTCACCAGTATTTTTGTTGTTGAAAACGTTTAGATATATATTTGCATTTGTTTAGGAATAACGCCCTCTATCAATCAGATTACATGTTTCTGCTGTTTTTAACAATTATCAGGTTATTGAGCTATCACATTTATATTGCACTGACCAGGTCTGTGATTCAATCAGAATCCAAAATATTTAGATCCAAAACATTAGGTTCACTACTATGGGAAAATCATGTCTGCAATCTTGATTTTTTTTTTTTTTTTTTTAACCATCCTGGTTTATAAAAGTTAGTGCAACAAACCCAGTACACATTCATCTCGCTTTAGGGAAGTTGAATGACATACGCTAGTTTTTTTTAATGACATCTTTGTATTGCTATGATTAAACACTACCCCCCCCCCCCCCAGTAGATTATACTCCAGTCATCTCGATGCAACATGTACATGGTTTAAACAAAATTTAACAATTTAATTAACCAGAGGTATTTCTTTTGAACAACATTGAGTTGGCTGTAATCCCAGACTAGCTGTTTGAAAGAGAATCCTGCACAAGTGAAATAAATTGATCATCCTTCCACTGGTACATTCAACTTGATTTATTCTTTCAAATTTATCAAGGTTTTTGGACGAATAGATGTATGCAAGAAAAAGTGTCTAGGACTGAGCAGATATTTTTGATGCATTTTGCGAATCACCATGGGAACAATGGCATATTTTTTAATACGGTTACATGCTTTTAAGGGGAAAAAACGCAAAATTTTGTTGCAGCGAGTAATTCTGCAAACATCAACTAGACCAGGCTCTCCCACAGGTGAAATTAAATAATCAAACGATAACACTTGTGTGCAGCAAGCACTTGGACATCTCCAAATTCACACTCAAGAATTTCCCTCAAATAATCATAGAAAATAAAACAAATTGTGCTTATAAACTGTAGGGAAACATCAACTTTTTTTGAATTCTAGCAGATTTCATGAAATGCACTTAAAAGATTAACTTTGCATATTCACTAGATTTCATTCAATTAGTTATTTGTTTATAAAACCATAGCAAATTACGACTTTTATGGTAATAGCCCCCAAAACGGCTAAATATTATTTCTATTCATAGTTTTTGTAGAACTGCCATGTAATGTAGACACATGAAAAGAGAAAAAATAAGATAAGCTTTTTAACACGTTCAAAAATAATAGATGTATTTTTTTTGCGGGACATCCACACGAAGCATACATTTCCGAACACAGAATGTCTCAATGTACGTTATGTTTTGTGTTATTTATTCATTCATTGCAACACATTCAAATACACTTCTTTCATAGATACATTTTACTTTTTCAAATATATAAACAAGCATACCCAATATCAGTACCAATTTTAGTTGGTACAATACATTTTCAGAATACGTCTTTAAAATAGCTAGTCAATTATTTTAAGTCTATACATGTCGGTGAAAAAAGGCTGTTAAGCTATGTGACACTTCTTTACAAAACAATTCTATTTGAGAACTGGAAATCTATTCTACATTGCGAGAACACTGCTAATGGACAGTTTTGACTATCTTTGCTTGAAGCAAATATTTAACAAGACTTCATATCCACATGGCGTTGGTGGAAAAAAAAATGTACAATTCCACTTGACAGAATAACTACTAACCATTTGCAAACACAATATTAACTTTAGTACATGCCATGCTTTTATTGACTTGAAGTTCCAAATTAACAGACTAGTATTCAATATTCGCCAGCATCACCGATTCCAACCTTGATCAAATGCCAACTATATTTTCATCTTGACTTGCCAATTAATCAAATGAATCTCATTTATGAGAAGGCATGCAGATTCTAAACTTAAACTGTACATAGCTGTACACCTTACTCGGTGACTGCAGTTAATCTTCATGTCGGTAAACAATAAAACTTGACATCATTGTTTTTTCCACTTTTCATTTTAGCTATCCATGGAAACGTCCAGCAGGTGATGCCTTAAACATTTTTTTTCATAAAATATTAATACAGAGAATTATTCATTAATACAGATAAAACACGCCAGATCAAGGTAGTTTTTAAACATTTTTGAATATACAGGTTTTAATTTGTTAGCATACAATATTATCCTGGCAACAAGAAAAAAATAAAGTTGGTTACACTGGAATAAAGTTATTGCTGAAGCTCAATGGCAGAGAAACTTACTTTAAACTCTACGACATTTTTTTTTAAATGCAAATCACTTCATGTAAACACATTGTACGCTACTGAGAGACTATTTTAGATATTCTCCGAACCTCCATGTTCCAAATAACCTTTAGAAATCCGAGAGTCGCACATTTAAAAAATGTGACCTATAACCACACTTAAGAACGGATAGAATTGACTTGACTTCTCTAGATTTGTGAGAAGACTGTTTATAAGAAATCTTTTCTTTCATTCAAAATAATATCCAAAACTGAAGGAGGGCAAATCAAATACATTTCCATTAAAATATGGGAAAGATATTCACAAGACTGGTAAAGCTATGAATAAATTAAGTACAACACAATGATGAGAACATTTTTTTCATGACAATACAGACACTATTTCTAGACACATCTGCTGTCTCCGCTGTACATGGCAAAGACACAGAATAAACTCAGACTTGCACGTTTCGCATTTGAACTCCAAAGGCGCCAACAAACGCAAAACATGCAGAACACTACTATGGAATCATAGCTATATGTTTGAGCTTTCAAAAATGCAACATTATATATAAATGCAATGCCATGTGCATCTGCATGTTCGAGACTAAAAATACGAACCATGGATATTAACACTTTCCCATCGATAATCTGTATTGCATGAACACTACTTCATGTATGTGTACAGATTTTATTAGTTTTGCTTTGCAACCATCTACCAGTGTGGAACAAGATCAGTTGCATTATTGTACACGTGCTGCTGCAGCAGCAACATCATCATAGTGGGGGATGAATCAACCAACAGACTGTTAGCAGCTGCAGAATGTTGTCCATAGTTCAGCTCTGTAGAATCCATGCCTTTGCAGAATAACACACTCATCAACATAATCCTAGTCTAGGTGTTATTTAAACATATTTAAAATGTTCCATGCACCGTACATTTCAATATGCGTTTATTTATTCAGTGATAAATATTTGAGATTTCATTATGCATGCAGAGATGTATATACATTTTTAATTACGATTTTAACTATGTTATGCCTACAGTTACCATTTTATTTTAGTTTTTTTTTTTTTTTTTACAAAGAATACAATGTTTTGAGTGTGTAAAGCCTTATACATTGAAGTAACCCAAATAAAGACTTCTATTGATCAAGAGACTTTACTTTATATTAATGTCTAGTCTGATGACGTTCTCTAGAAGAGAAAGGGATTGGTTGATTGCTGCTGCTGTTGGGGTACATTGGCTGCTGGGAGCATAGGCTGCGGCAGTTGTGAGCCGTATGCGGTCATAGGCATAGTTGCGGGTTGCTTCATCTGGTTCAACGTTGGAGATGCCGAGTGCTGCACTTGGAATGGATTGGTGGATTTTGATGTTGTGTTCACTGCGAACGGATTTGTAGATCCTGGCTGGGCTACTTGCTGCTGTGGAGTTGGTCCAATCAAAGAGTCCAAGTTCACCAAACTGGAGTTTTCACCAAGGAAATCAGATGCTGATTTCTTTTTCTCGTCTTGACTGTTGGATGATAAGGCTACGCCCATTGATCCCATATCAAACATGTTATCAACAGGCATAGCACTAGCAGCTGGAGGACCTCCGAAAGGATCATTATTCCCAATACCACCCCCGATACGAATGCTATCAAAATCAGCATCAGGATCTGTTGAAGATTCACCTCCCCAGGCAGCTGCTTGACTGGTAGCTACGTTACTCGTGACTGGTGGCGACCCCCATATATCAGCAGCAGGCGACGCTGATCTGTGACTAGGTAGGGCTGGAGACCCCCATGGATCTGTAGCTACGCGATGTGGTGGTTGAGGTGGTGGTGGTGACTGTGACACAATGGGTTCTCCCCAAGGATTAGGTTGTGGTGGTGCTGCTGCTGGTGGTGGTGCTACTACAGCTGGAGATCCCCAAGGGTCGGCAGCAACAGGGGCGACATCTGTCTCAACTGCACCCCATGGATCAGATGTAGGCATTGTAGCAGCTCTAACAGGAAGAGGTTCAGTCAGATCTAACAATGCACTTCCTCCCCCTCCTCCTCCACTGACAACCTGAAAAATAGCAAATACAAAGTTTAAATAAAAAGGAAAAAAATTACACAGAACACATGAATTATCAAAATCATTGTTTATATAGAGTTAAATTAAAATATATATACATGGTAGCTTCACAAACATAGCTTGGAACTGAATGTATTGGGACATGTATTACATTAAACCAAACTTCATTCACTGAATACATGTATTCAATCACCATGTATTAAATTCCCTAGCAGAGTTTAGTCTCTACCAGACTCGAGGACACAACTTTATTTTTGGCATACTAGTATACCTAACTCAGAAATTACACACATTTCAAAACACTTACAATGCAATAAGTTGTTGCTTGCTTTCGTTGTCACGTTGGTATGGAACAGACAATTTTTCTTTATTGACTATTAGCAATTCTAATACTGCAAAATGACTAATTTTTACTGGGTGTATATTTCACTGATTTACCATTTCAGGCATATTCAGTAGGTTTTAAATTAGCGCATTTTCCAGTAGGCGAAATAAGCAAAATCAAAACCCAATGAATAATTAACCCCTTTATTGTTTTTGAGTGACATCCAGATGAAAAGGCAATAATTTTGACAATCCAAACTGTACACGTGTCATGCATATATTTTATTGACAAAACAGTTCATGAATTAATTATAAATGAACTTTTAACTTCAGTCAATGAAGAGATCTTAGTACACTTGACAATTTAATTTTAATAGCTTTCCAGTGGAGGTTAACATGATAACCTGATGAACACAACATCTGAGGACATCCTGGGTTATCAATAAAAAAAATTAAGGAAATTTAACTATGAAATCAGGGGAGGCCATCCAGCCATGTTATAAGATTGTCAAAAACAACTGTGATCAATAGCCACAATACTAGTCTTAAGGTATTTATAATTTAGTGCTAGACTTAAAAAGTTTATTTTGCTACAGTGTGTTTTAGTTAGTGTTTTTTTCACCATTTTAGACCATGAAAGTAGAATGGAGTATTTGATAAAGTAGCAATAATAGGTGATTTTTCGTACAATTGCGAGATCTCGCGAGATGCATGAAAGACGTGCGTCGAACGTCTGCTGTAAAAATCGAACGATTTGATTTTCAACTCGAATTTCTTTATTTCGTAGCTCACATTGACGCCACTACAACGCTATGACCTTTGTTTGTCCTGTTTTTACGTTCGATTTCACGCATAACGCGTGATTCTCGCAGTGTACAGAAAATGGTCTATTAGTATAATTTATAAACTCTTATTTTAATGGCATTGTAAAGGTAACTCCTTGATAGCAGACCCAGTGACCAACCCCCTGTTTTTAGTGCATTACCCCGGTACTACTATTTGGGTCCAGTTCGTCACACCCCATCCAAAACACCCCAAATATGACTTTCTGATGGTACCGGTACTTAATAATATTGTAATATTATTTTTTGTGAACAATCATGTTTGTTTAGTGTAAAAGTGTTGTGTAACCAATAACAACACAATTTGTTTTATTAAACAATGTTTTATCTTTTCCAAATAGACATAATATTCCCCCCAAGTTGGCTCATGGTGAACAAAAATTGGTATTTTGATTTGATGTTGGTGGTAATCGAATAAGAGCTTAAAATTGTGAATTTTGGAATACCCTGGGTAGTAAAAGTTGGTCTAGTGCAGTACCATATATTAGTTTTTTTTAATCATGTTTTTTGAAATTGTTCATAACAGTCTTGTATTGATGCATGTTTTTGTTTTGTTTTTGAAGCCTATACCAAAGAACATATTCTTGTAAAGAATTATTCAGTGCTTTGTTCATTTACACAGGGTTAAATATGAGGGAGAAGGGGTGTTGCCATGACAACTAGACGATCATATCCACCATGCTTGAGTCAGTACAGCAGAAATTACAAAATGGCTCGTTAGCTAAAAAAAAAAAAAAAACATTAAGCATGGTGGTTTTCGCAAGAATAATTTATAATTTGAAGAGATTGCTTATCAACCAGTACATTATCCTAAAAAAGGATATAAAAATGAATTTTAAAGCAGGGAAAACAAATTTGTTTCTCTTATCAAATCAAAAGAGATTTGTTAATTAGGTCGTAAGACATTTGAACCCAAAAGACAAGTCAGGTGCACTCTTTCAATGCAGAGGAAATTAGAATTTTTTTTTAACCTTCACATGTTTTTAGGAATGTACATGTATAGTACACTGATACAGGAAACAAACACATTACACTATTACAGCCTGATCCACAGCTGGTGCGTTTCTTTTAAACCATTACTATTTCAACCACAAGCACAATAACCAAATGTCTTTCATCCATACAAGGTATGCACATTTTCTAATGGACGACTTGCCTTGAGAAATTATGAATGAAAATAAAATGCTCCCATAAGCTGAAGGCTTTTGAGGCAATGATTAACGAGCCAAGGCAATCAAAGGAAATATAAAATATTGTAGCACTGTCTACAAACCATTGAGAATGTCACAATCCCCTCTTGTACTTTAATATATGACAAATGTAATGTCAGCATTAGTATGCTCTTTTTTGATCAAGTGTATTGACAAGTCTGAAACAATCTGTCAAAGCATGTCTGAGAAATGATTTAATATGCAAAACCATGAAACAAAATGGCTACCAGTCAGCCATTCAGTAAGTTTACCATTGCAATTGTATATACCCCGGCTTCAGGACACGTATAGATATTTGGAAGGGGCATTTAAAATTATATTGGGGTGCTGGAGTGTTAGGGTTCAGGTTTAGGTGGGAACTTTGAGGAACTCTTTCCAGACACTTTGAGAGGAAATGGGGGGGAAAAAAACACATCAATCATTTTCTAAAAAAATGACTGCCAGTGGACTATCTTCGATTGGATTGTGACAGCGACAAAATTTCAATGACACATTTGCCTATGTACCATAAACCTAAACTGGCAATGAGAATTTGAGATGCAAGCAGAATTGAGCAAAAATATATGAAAACTCTAGGTTGACCATCTTAGATAGAATAAAATAAAACTGCTTGTCCACCAAGTTTGACCAGGCAGCAAGAATTTAAAATACAAGCAACATTGTGCAAAAAAAGCAAAAATTAAAGGTTTTAGTTGAACAAAATGGCTGACAGACTACCATATTGGATTGGATTGTAACATAAATCAACTTTTGTTGATGTGCTAGAAAACAATTGTCTATGAACCAAGTTTGAATCTAAATTGACTGTGTGAATTTGATATATAAATGTGTGGTGGAAAAGAATGTAAATTGTCGATGTATAAGGAAGAGTGGGAGGTTTACACCCATGAAGAAAATAATCGGCAGGGATTGTAATAGAATGTTTTCTCTGCATGCACAGTGTGCATGTCGAAGTTGAAATTTACCTGCACTAACTTGTTGTTTTCAAGTTTTAATAAAATTTACGAGTTTTGATTGATGCGATCATGAAAGAATTTGCTTTTTTTAATTGTCTTACAATATTTGTGGAACTTGCATGTAATTTAGACTTAGTGAATATAATGAGAAAATGTTGTGTTAATTTCTACATGTACAGTGTGCACATTATATTTTGAGTTTACTTGCACTAGCTAATAATCTACTAGTATGTGCAAAGTGCAGTGTGCACCAGGGTATTTTGATCCCTGTAATCGGACAAACATACTAAATGCTCCATACATTGAATCTTTATTTTTTGCTCATCCTTAAGCATAGATATATTTCTAGTAGTTCAAGTGAAGTATAAAAAATAATGAAACAGACCAGTCAGCATATGGGCATGAAGTAGAGAGTATACATAACTACAAACTAACCTCCGGTTTTTCATCTAAACTCTCATTCAAGGCCATCTGCAATCTGACATCATCACTTCGTTTCTGACGATCACTTTCATCTGCTTCTTCTTTGCTCATTGCCAAGGCCAACTGCAGCTGCAGTTCTTCCTCTCCAGTTGTCTGAGGGCGAGCTTGTTCTAATTCTGAAAGTGGAGAACCTGACATGAGAGAAACAAATCCGAAGGCTGCGTCAGGAAAAAACGTTTTGGGAAATGGAACGGGGACTTGTGGGCAAAGTACATGCACATGCATGCCAAGAACGGTGGTATAGCAAGCAACAAGCAAAGCCAAATTTTCTTTAAGTGATTTTGTGATCAACCATCACATCCCACCCAACAGTAACCAAACTGCATCATATTGTCTGGTAATTCCTGGAAAGCAACTACATTAGTGTAGATCTATATAAAAATAATATAAATTCGCCTGCAATCACAATGTGTGAAGGTGAAAGGCAAATAAAAAGTAGCTGAAAATTATGTACCATTACACAATGACATAATTTGTCCAATGCACATAATATGTTAAACTGTTATCCCCCTTAATTACATGTAATCTGTACATAAACAAATGTGAAAATTATTATGGGCAGATTGAAAAGTAGAGCGGTAACAAATAAAACAGCCTCACCATGAAGGATTTATAGCAAGTGCAAGCAAGAGATGATAAAAAAAAAAGAAAGGAGGTAGAATAATGTTAGGCTCTCTTGTCAATTGTGTCTCCCTCGTGTAGGTCTGGAGAATCATCATAGACATGCAGAGTTATACATGTAGTCACTCAGAGGATCAGTTTAATTAAGGAAAATAGTTAGTAGAGACATGCATATTTCAACTCTGAGCTGAGATGGATCAAAGTTCACAACAATAAGTTGGGAGTTGGAATAGTCGAAGTTTTCCCTGGAGCCCTGTAGGCACCATGGGGACCATGGTGGACTATTGTAAACTGCTTTACTTTTGTGCGATAAATTGTTTCAAGTCAACGAATAATTGCAGCAGTGAAAATCTCTCAGAGGTGCCAGGTACTTTTGCAGAATATTGTCTTCACAAATGCCATAAAATCCTGAAATGGTGACAAATTTCTAGTACATGTAGTTAAATTTAAACATTTATGTTATTTTTTTTTTAGGAAACAAAACAAAACAATAACCAAAGCAAGGATTCAATATTATACATCTTAGTGATTAAGCCAAATTGAAAAATATAATGTCCAGATTTATAGCAATAAACAATATCTAAGCTTACAGTACATAATATTATTTTGGAAGCATAATACGCATGTACGAGAAGCAGATCATACACAGAATTGTAGCATAGACTCCTCTTTAGGGTCTGTGGTCATACATGTAGTTAGATTGAACTACATTAACTACTTACTGCACCGCACATCAAAAGACGAACATGATCCTGACCCACCAAAGCCATTGCATACTAACTAAGTATGTATTTACAATGTACTTTTGCAAGTAAAAAGTCATCATTTTTCAGAACATTGCCAATCACAATTACTTAGGTAATGACAGGAACTTATGAGTAAATGGATGTTTTTGAATGTCAGCTGTCATTATAGATAAATAAATGAATTAATTCTTTAATTGCGAACCAAGACTAAGTAAGATTTTTAATGCAACATGTTGCTTATTTTTATGTATGTTTTTATCATTTAATGGTGAAATAGCTTTGCTGTTGTTGTAGAGTATTTTCGTCAAAACAAGTTGATAATGTTCTGTACAAGGAGATATCAACTATTTACTATGGTTATTAGTGTTTCCAAAATGTTCTTGCCATATCACAAGGGTAGTTTCTTTGGTTGTTGCCATGGCAATTACAATTGTTATCCTCGTTACAAATCTCATGGAGGTCAACCCATGGACCACGCATACCAAGTATCAAAGCTACATGTACATGTATTATTAAGCTGATAGTTTCGAAGAAGTAATCAAATTACCAAACAAAACAAAAATATTCGCTAAAACTTGAGAATTGAACATATCGTCCCGAAATGAACAAATCTGACAGAGGTGCCAAAGCTATTGAGCTGGTAGTTAAAATTTAAAGTTTTCAAGAAGATGATGAAAATCTAATTGTTGACAAACGTCACGGCGAAGATGAACAATCACCTATATGAACAGCTCCACTCCATCATCTATGATGACAGTGGAGCTTACAATTACGTAGGTTAATTTTTGTGAAAGATGACATTAAGTGACTTTGGCACACAGAGGGCTAAGAGCAGTTGATGAGCAAACACTTTTTTTTGCTTAACCCTCTCTGCAAAAAACAGTATGAGGTGGATAACTAAATTCTACAACACCTATTAATAATATGTACTGTAGTCTAATGCAGCGCAATATTGCCCAGACAGACATACAGACAGAGACAGACAGACATGCGTACAAACAGAACATAACATGAAATGCAGTTAGTGCGACTTGCAGAAAGCTAACCAATGCTCTAAATATATTTGCATTACATAACTACCGTAGACTACTACCGGTATTACATTACCGTAGACTATTATTACACTACCATGAGAAAGAGAGAGAGAGATGGAGGGAGGGTTTACAACCAAGGACTGGAATAAAAGTCAACTCACCTCTATCAGTGCTATTTTACAACATACAAAAATGTACAAAGGACTATATCGTTCATGTATGCCAAAAAACGCATGCCATGAACAGTATTGACACACACAGGCAGACATACTGATACATGCAACTGGTCAATGGTAAAAATGATATAACGCACAAAACTCGCAACAATAATACTCAAAAAAGAAAAACTAGTTGTTACTTAGTAAAATCTGAATTAGTAAGAATGTTGACAGCTTTGCAAACTGCCAAATCAAAAGTTTTTACAAACATGTAGGGAGGGTAAACTGAAATATGCATGCAACTAACAAGTATTTTTGCTACAGGAAAGTGGCCTACATGTGATATGACAGACAAATTGAAGTTAAAACTACCGTTAAACACCTTTTTTTTAAACTGAGGGAGAGTTGGGACAAGAGAACGTAACAATACCTCCTGGATTTACTGGGGGAGTGGTAGCAGACTCTGACGCAGGGTCTGTGTTTTGATTATCAGGAGTACCACCTGTCTGATATCCTCCAGTTCTTTCAGTTGACTCTTTTCCATATTCTGAATTGCTCCCAATACCCGATGATGCCTGTGCAAATCTCTCCTTGGCTTTCAATGCTCTGGCTCGCTCTTGTTTCAGTCGCTCATCATCTTTCAAAAGCGACACCAACTGCTTGGATTTCTCCCGAACATTTACTCCCTGATCTTTGCCATCTCTATCAATGAACTGGAAATCTTTCAATGTTTGTATAGCAAAGATATTTTCTTTGCACTGCTGCGCAACACGTTCTGAGCCCGTTTTTATTATATAATCCAAAACGACAAGCGACTTGTAGACATGCCGCCAATTCTTGCCGTGGTCGTTCAAACGTTTCCACAGCATCGCCATAATCTCAGAGAATGCAACAACATTGTATGTGAGATCGGCAATTTCGGTCATCAATGAACTAGATGGACCCCATGGATCATTGGAGGTTGCCTCACGCACTTTGACCTGCGAGTCCGTGTAATTGTTCACAACATTTTTGAGTTGCCGTCTGATAGGCATTGTGACAACAAGTGAAATTGTTCAAATAAACACAAATTGTATGAATCAGTCCAGAAGTAAACTTCACGATTTCCCGGAAGAGATATGGTTTCTTCGGCAGAATGACATCACACTGGCTGTATATCCAAGATGGCGACGTGCGTCGACTGTCCGCCGCTAACACTCTGTTTGCTGTGTGTGTAATGTTGACCCTACAAAGACAAAAAAATAAATAGAAAAAATACAATCATCACCCAGTTATTCCATTAAGTTTGGTCACGTTGCCTCTATACACTTATTTAAAATACAGAGCTGGTGGCGTGCCAGGATGTATCCCACAGTTCAAATTTCAACTCGCTACGGGTCACGCCATTACGAGTTTGACTTTCAACGTAGTGGTGAAATTATATCACAAAATATGAAAAATTCATGAAATTAAAAGAATATTTGTTTAACAACATGACTTAAAATAGTAATTACGTTCACCGATGTATTAATTCGGTCACCAGGCAAATGCATGTCACAACGACATTGACAGTCGAGCGTGCGTCTTGAATATTAGACAACACATACGCCGTAATTTTACCCCCAGCGGTCATACAAGACGAGTATGAATTTGAAACTGACCTTATAGATGATGTTCGACTCAGAATTGTCACAGGTACGATGAATTCGATGGCTCGCGAAAGAGGCACAGCTCCGACGAGCAAAGCGGGTAGAACACCGAACAAATCAAGATGGCGCCTCCCTTTCAAGATCAAACCTGATGAAACAGGAAGAAGTAATTGGAACAGCCGTCGAGTAGTATCCGAAGATTGCCGAAGTGATTCGTTTCACAATTTATGAGCATTAATGTTGTATTGCATGTTGCAAAGCGTGTTTCACGATAATTGTAGAGATTTGATTTCGACGTCAGTATTGCTGAAATACTATGCCAAACTAATAATGCATCGGGTGAACCTGAACATACACAGGGAGTGAATACAATGGTTGGAAAAGCCATAAATCCCGGATGTGTAAAAGGTCGAACCTCACCCAAAGTTCAGTGGTCATTCATCTTGGCAGAGAAGAGACGAAACCGATTTTATTGTTTGTATTCGGCCACCAAGGTTGGTTTGTTTCACCCGGGATCGATCAGTGCTTTGCTGTAAGTATTACATAACTTTGAAAATACAGCTCGATTACGCAATCATTGAAGGTCCAATGAATGAGTATCAGGGGTACGATCGGTGTCTTTTTCGTGTGGAGAAAGTGTTTATTGCGAGTGTTAAGCACTACACAACAATGTATACTTGCCAAGTGTCATTCGAAGCGTAGAGTTAATTATAAACATCACCACTGTCCCACTGGTCGTTTTCGTGTCCGTCACTGACAACAATAGTCTGCGCTTTGGAAAACCCCATGATTTTAAAGTCGTGTCATTTTTTGTTGGTATAACTTTACATGTATGTTTCTTAATTTTACCTCAATGATCTTACCTTTTTAGCCTTACACCTAGGTGTTTTTTTCACACGTCCTTGTTTCTGTAACCCTTATAGTTTTTTGATCTTGCCGATTAGATTAATTAAAGTAGTGAAATTAATATTGTTTGAGAACATTGTGAATTGTGACTATAACGTTTTAACATTTATGAATTTGAAAAAAAAAAATATAATCACGTGCAGAACGTACTTAGATTCATTTGTATACAATCTTTTATCTACAAACTCTGGAAAGCTTAAAGGGCGACAGTCGACGCGCTGCACATGTGCGACATTTATGTTGATTAGTATTGATTTTCCCATAATGCAATGCACTCTTCTAATGGAAATCACAAGTATGAGGTTTAACCTGGGCACAGCTTGCACTAATTACCGTCAGTGACTCCCTCGATACCTACCAATCACCTAAGAAATAACTAATTAAAGCTTGGTAACGTCTCAGTTTGTACTCGTTGATCTGCTCAAAAGACGCCATTTTTGTTTATATTAGAGTATAATGAGACCCATATATCTTGCGCATGTGTGGCGCGACGAGTACCACCCTTTAAGGGAGGTGCTATCTGGTCAATTTTAAATATACCAAGCTTAAAAATGTGTTTTAAACCTAATTTATCATACCCAATGTGAAAGTTTTATATTACACACGTTTTTTTCTTTACGACTTTTTTTATTCGGATGTAAATTCTTGTACATACCGAGAAAAATAACACATTTTTACAGTGTACGAAAAAAATATTTGATTGATTACGTTGTACGTCTAGCCTGTGATTACAGAATTACGGAATTTATATTTTCAATATTGCAATTACGTTGAACGAAAATAACCCTTGCCCCCCCCTCTTATTAATGTATCTCCAGATGTTACATTTTAAAATAAGAAATGGATAGTTGAAATTACTGCATCATGTTCATATCAGCTGTGATTTATGCCTTGTGTTTTAGTAACAGTCAGCTGGCACACAAGTGCAAGTAAAATAATAAAATTAATTTATCGTTATAAAGTGCAAAATTCAGATTCTTGCAAAATTAGTGGAAAAAAACACAAACTTTCACAGCCAAATAATTCTTTTGGATAACATAAACATAAACAATGAAATTTAATGACGTTCAGCGTTTTTTCTTGGGGGGGGGGGCGCAAATTCAAGAACGCTTCATCATGCAACTAGGGAGCTAATAAGCGACTACTGCAGTTGAATCCACCACCGAAATTTATAAAAATTTGTGCATGTGAAAATCTAAAAAATAGGTTTATGGTTGGTGGATTGTGATATTACTAGATTAAGCATAAAAAAGAATTTTCACTTTCTCGTTATTATCCTCCTAGGGTCAGGACCACAGGCAGAGCATGATGGAACTATTTTATCTGCTAGTGTGTCTGTTATGTTTACAAAATAAAGTACTAGGGCAAGGTGATCCAGGTAAGTCTGTTAAATATCAGTCCAATGCATGTTAATAGGATATTGTGAAGTTTCCTTCATTGTCCATCAGGCGAAATTAAAAAAATAGTGTTTCTGTTAACCACCAGGCCTTGCCTATGCAGATTTTACATGTCGTACAAATGTATCTTTTTATTGGATAAAACTAGAATTTGGTCACTGGGAGTTTGCATGCACTTAGTGTAAATAACAGAGGTCTATGGTCATAAAAAAAACATAATTCGATAATCTAGCATACAATAAATTTATGCAAATTTTTGTTTATGTGTGATTTTATTAGAGATTTTAATATACCAAGTGTGTTAAATATTTAATATGGCCTCAATGTCCTAGAACTTAATTTGCCATGATGGCAAACAGTATGCATTTTTTTTGTGCTGTCAGTTTCCATGTGCTAATGTAGGTCTCTCAACCGAGGCCAGTAGCGAAGAGAAACAGTCCTCAGCAGACTGAGTACATTTGTGTGCTGTTTTCAAAATCTAGGCCGGTCATTAATAGTTTTTTTTACGATACACCACACCCATAATTTGTTAGTTTGGGAGGTACAACTGGTGTGAACTTACATTCAATCTCCAAGATTGTACCATACTGTTCATGGCAGAGCAAACTAGCAGCATATTACATAATACCCTTGCCACAATTCCTCAATAACCAGTCGGAAAACACCTATGTTCTGAGGTGTTAATCCCCTGATTGGTGTTAAGAGTGTGCGTTATGCTCTTATGCTCGTGGAGAGAACCAATGACATCATGGCATCATGGCAGTTAATTATACATGTGTTTTTGTGTTCGTAAAGACTTCCTGATAAGCATGTGTAATTTACAAGATATACACATTGAATTAAGAAAATCAAGATTTCAATTTCAGACAGTCACAGCCAGCACTGATCATTGCAGGGTGACGTGTTATGATGACGCTGTACAAAAAGTTTTCACCCTGTGAAAATGCGTTCCTATATCTGAAACGATCGCAGTCATCGTATTTATGTAGTTCAATATTTAAATCATGCCCAAATACTTATTATTTTGTTTAGAAGCAGCATTAAGGGGTTATTTTCAGTCGATTATTTTACATACCCCCCTCGTCAGAAAATCACTGTGAATTTAGAGCATACTATGTACAAAATTTGCCCATGTGATATAAAGATGACAATTTCAATGATTGTCCGAATTGCCATCTTGATATCACATGAGCAAAATTTATGTTTACATATAGTAGCTGACTTCAAGAATGTTGTCTCAATTTCAAATGTATCTGGACTGCTACTGTGGTACATGTATTAATTTATTCTCAGGCTTTTTTTACTGATAAGTGAAATAAGTTGAATCCATGTAAGCATAGAACTCATTGTGAAACCTGTGAATTATAATCATGTGAGTGTGATTAGCTATCAAAATAGTGGAATTAAATACCAGTGAAAATGAATGTTTTTACAGTGAATGTGCGGTACAACAGTGCTAGGTGCTCTCCAGTTCAAACTAGTGGGTAAAACGACCCATTACATAGATGCAGCTGATTGCTTATCATAATGTATCCTTCTGTGTGTGGAGTTAACCTACATTACTGGTCTTGGCAATTTTCGGAGGCATCAAAGCCCATGGATTTTATTTATTTATTTGTTTGTTGCAACACTTTTAAATCAGGGGCTCACAAATAGAAGTACACATAGAGTTTAGAGTACATTTCATAACATCTGCTGTTCAATTTTCTTTAGTACTATATTTACCTGATAAATCACCCACTTCAAAAGTTTGTTTCTGGGTTTATGTTTTTAGCACCTATGCAGGGTTCTCCCCAGGGCTTTTTAGCGCCGAGGTCCGCGGCGCTATACCTGTGAATCTCGGCGCTTCACTTGGGACCTCGGCGCTATGTGTTCCCACCTCGGCGCTTGATTTCATATTTGACATGCCAATATCAGATGTGAAAAAT